TCATCACATGCTCATATCTTCTTGCAATCCAGCAGACCAAACTTTATATCCAAAATACAGTGATTAATTAATAAAAATTGGACTAGAGTACTATTACCAAATGACATGGGAGGAATTTTGCTACTAATATTTGAAAAATATTTAAGCAGACTGTATTCCCTTTTTCCTCCTATACACTATCACAATTAAATTGGCATTAAAAATCTTATGTAGATGATGAGAAGATACACAATGGAGAGTCAAGGTGGGTTTGGGACTCATTTTGGTGAGTTTTCAACTCATTTGACCAGAATATGCTGAATAACTAGTGTGAGCATAGCATTTATTATTAAAACATTGTGCTTTTCAAGTGAAAGAGCATTGTTTTTACTTATGCCAGCTCATTGGCCTAAACTTGGAACATCCCAGGAAACTGGAATGTATGATCAACCTATGAAAAATCAGCCATAACTGGATAATTTTAAGTGAGTTAAGACAAATCAATAAAGTTAATTGTGTTTGGGCTGTATAGGCTAATTTGCTTATTTAAAGTTTGGTCCACACAGTTGATTACCCAGTTTTAGAAAATCATGTCATTAATTCAAAACGACATTCCTTATTTTATCATACAGTTTAAATGGCATGTATTTACATTTTTTCTAAGGATTAGTTCATAATTTTTCACCTTTATTTTGTTAAAACATTTATCATTTAAAACTCTCACAGTAATACAATTTTCTGGGCAACCAAAAAACTGTAATGACTGATAAGCAAGATGCATAAAGCCAAATGGAAAGACCATTAGACTAGAAATCAAACAATCTAAATATTGTTTTCATTCTAATGCCATTACCAACTAGAACTTACTTTCACTCTATTTTTTTCATTGTAGCAAAGGTGATAGTATCACTAATTAATTTCCTAGGGAAGGCTGTGGCAATATTTTAAACACCTAACATGCTTTCATATTTTATTTTCAAAATTTTTGTAGTAACATAGAAGGTAAGAGGAAGAGGCACAAAAACTCTCAGAACACATAGAATTAAGCATAGCATTTAAAATAGTATATAGAGAAATACATTTCAATAAAATGGAAGAAAAATAGATCTTTCCCACTAGAAGATTTTCAGTCCTTGATGATTTGCTAACACCTTCAGAAAGCCTCTAACTTCACCCTGAACTACGCTCTAACACTTGTTATTGTTTGTTTATCTGTGTTCCCTAGTGGGCTATAGGCTTTGCAAGACCCAGCTATATTTTATCTGTCATTAAATTGCAGTCTCTGATCCAATGTTGATACTCAAGAATTATTATTTACCAAATTTATTAATGTTTATGACAAATTTACAGAAACAGAATATCACTGTTTGAATATTAACATTCTCTATTAGATCTCTGCCAGATTCTGTTTTCTTTTGAATTTGATGTTTGACCTTTTTCAAACATCCCTTTTCCACTAAAAGGTAGAAAAGGAAGCTTTTAAGAACTACTAGAAGTTCTATAAATTTTCACCATAGGCTACCTCTCCTCTGTGACACTGGAAGAACTGGTTTGGAAATTGTATGTGGATGTGGCTTTGTGCAAATGATCTATTTACTTTCAGAGGTGTTAGCTCAGTTGGTGAGAGGAAAGCACTAATAAGAGTAAGGGTGCAAGTTTTATTAGCTTTACACAGAGAAAAACAGCCCCAGAGTCACAGATTGTACCTCCAAGCTCAGTGATTTCTCTTGGGTCACAAAGAGAGTGCAGGTTACTCAGAACAAACCATTAATAGTTAGGAACAGGAGCAGCTCATGGTAGCTCTAATATACAAAAGACAGCACATTATTGCTTTGCTGACTCCTAAAACAAATTAAGCCCATCAAACAAATGTAAACTTTTACGAAGTATACTTTGTCATCTGTCCCCTTCAGCCCAGTTTTAAAGTAGGGATACTTGGTGAAGGAGACTTTATTATTATTATTATTATTATTATTATTATTAGTGTGTGTGTGTGTGCACGTGTGTGTGTGTGTGTGTGTGTATGTGTGTGTGTGTAGAAGAACTGGAGTGTAGGCCAGAGGTGTAGAGGGGGTGGTGAGAGGATTCACCAGAGAGAGTGGGGAGCAGAACAGACAGATCTACTGAAATTCACTGCTAAGGGAAGCAGCAGGTGAGACAGGAGAGGTCTGCTGCGCCATATACGGTTAGCTCCCTGTCTGGGTATCGAACTTAGGCTGCAGCGGGGATAGGGAAGCCTGGTGAAGGAAATATTAAATCCAAATTCTCAGATTACATCCAATTAGTTACTGGAATTTCTGTTTGGAATAAGATATGGCCATATTGTATTGGTAATAGATTGTCAAAAGGGCAAAAAGCAATCTGAAAAATCATCGGTAGTGATCACAATAGACAGTTGTGGGATGATAGATTCTGAAGATTTGTGATTGAAATAATGGTTTTCTTGCAAAAATGTACTTTCCCACACACAACAGCATTTTATTATATGTGAAAATCTGTTTTGCCAATAAACATTGATTCATGGCTTGCTAACTAAATTAATGCCAGAAAAGAAAGTACTTTATAAATATTTTTGATACATTATGTTAAATTCAGCTATAGCACATCTGATTATAATTGGTAAAACTAGTTGGACGGAAAAGGTAGTAGTGACATGTGACAGCAATCTATAAGTCATTCAGCGACCATGGAATACTATTTTATTTTGACTCTGGATGTTTTATTTTATTTTTGAATTAATTAATTATTTTAAATCGAGGTAACAATAACCCATCAGGTATCATCACCATAGTGCATCCAAATCACCTCTGTCCACCACCTTATTCCATTGTGCTTCCTCTCACCCACTCTGTCCCCCCTCTAGATGTTTCAATTCTATAGTCAGCTTCCAAGAGTTAGCTTTTAAGCTTGTCTCTAGAAATTATATTTATTAAGAGCCTTTCCACAGGGTCTCCCTGGTGGCGTAAGTGGTTAAACACCACACTATGAAGGAGTCCTCACCCTCTGCAGCATGAGTTCAATCCCCAGCCTGCCAGAGAGCAGCCCACATGGCACAGCACACCTCTCCTGTCTCGCCCGCTGCTCCCCTCAGCAGTGTACTTCGGTCAATCTGCCTGTTCTGTTCCCTGCTCTGTCTCTGGTGAATCCTCTCACACCCCCGCACCTCTGGCCTGTACCACAGGCTCTTGTATGCATAAATAAATAAATCTTTAAGAAAATATATAACTAGTAGTTGTTCAGAAATACAAGTGATATATTAGAGGCAATCATTTAAAAAGGTAATTTTATGTATTTACGTGTACAATTAAATAATGACATGATTCAACATCAATGAGCATATTGTATCATATGTGGTAAAGCTATATGGCAGTGAACCTTTCAATAACATTCTTCCAGGCACAAACAGACCTCTTATCATTCTTTTTGTTTTTATACTTTATAAGAAATTTACTCATCCTCATAATAGTAAAATAAGCCAATGCACATGCACACGCATGTGTGCATGCACACACACACACACCTTTCACAACTGGCTTTAACTCTACTGATGGCACAAGTGAAAGAGGAATTTATTGGGGAGGGAACAGAAGTCATCTTCTCCCTTAGGATATTTTAATCACAGGGTAATTCCTTCAGCAGACCAGATTCACCAGGTTTCGTGCTGTCCTATACAACAGGACTTGCTGTATCACTGATTCACATTGGAACCCTGCATTACTTTCCCTAAAATCACATGGACTCTCTTTCCAGAAATCACATGGACTCTGTCAACATTTTAAAGTTACATAGGATACTTGGCTAAATGTCTCCGCAAGCTGTTCCTTAAAACCTATTGCTAAAGGCCTCCCTGGTGGCACAGGGCTTACAGACAGCACTATAAAGCTCTCACCAGCCAGTGCAGCACGAGTCTGATCCCCAGCAGGACAGGTAGCAACCCACATGGCACAACAGACCTCACCTGTCTCCCCGTTGCTCTCCTCTGCAGTGTATTTCAGGAAATCTGCCTGTTCTGCTCCCCACTCAGTCTCTGGTGAATCTTCTCACTCCCCGCACCTCTGGCCTACTCCCCTGTTCTTGTATGCATAAATAAATACATATTAAAAAAAAAAAAACAACAACCTATTGCCAAAGAAGATTCAGAGGTTAAGATACCTAGAGTTTTCTTGGGAAACATTGTGGTAGAGAAGATCATGAAACTCACATTAGCCAACTGTGGTTGAGAGCCAGCCGTCTGGCAGTGTTTAGAGTTAAAAGGTGAGATCAGGACGATTAAATAACTTGCCACTATCACAGAGCTAGTTAGAGACAGACAGGAATTTGAATCCTGGTTCATCAAAACTCAGAATCTGAGTCAGAGCTAGATTTGAATTCTCCTTTTAACACTCACTAACTGTAAACTTGGAAAGATTTCTTGACTTTGGCGAGACAGGCCTTCATTTCCTGTCTTTAATGTGGAGAGAATGCCTATCTGAAATGACTGTGGAAAGGTTAAATATTTGAGACAGGATGTGTTAAAATGCTACACACAGGCTGCCCTCTCTTTGTGTGAACCTAATTTGAATAAGCAGTTATGCTCTTAAGGCCCTGACCCCATTTCTGCTGGAGACACACTACCTTTAAGACTCTCTTCCCACAAAGTATTGGAGATGTAGTGGGAGAGAGAGAAGACAATAACTTATTATAGGATGTGTGTAGACATTAATCCCAATATGTGAAGCAGATAAAAAGGGGATATTCTGTTTGAAGGATGTGGGGGTGTGTGAGGAGGGCATAAGCCCGCCCACTCAGCCTTTCCCAGCACCTCCTACAGTCCTGGACAATCTCCTTTGAACCCTGGGGCACTGAAAACAATCTTCAGGCAAAATGACCTCTGGGGGATTTTTAAATATAAAATCCTGTTTTCTCCCATAGGTGTACAAATATCTATAATAAAAGTTTAGAAATACAATAACAACTATAACATATATGTCCATTCAGAGAGATCACAGTTGCTTGTTTCACAGAAGAGGAAAGAGGGCAATGATAGTGTCACAAAGAAGGTGACCTTTCCTAGGAATGGGTAGGATTTTAAGAGGCTGAGATCACCATGAAAGAGGACGGAGAGGTATGAAATACACATTAACTGGAATGTATCATGAGAAAGGCAAAATCCAAAAAGAAAAAAAAGGGAAGAAAAGTACAAAGCATCCTGGAGACCTGTGAGTAATGTAACTGAAAACTTCAAGTGCACATGGATAGGAATTAAGAAACTGGAGGCAATTAAGGATCATTGTAAGGATGTGGGTTTTGGGCCACCCTGGTGATGCAAGAGGTTACTTCTCAGCACAATCAAGCTATCACCAGCCACTGCAGCATGAATTCAATCCCTGGCCAGGGAGAAACCCACATGGTGCAGCAGACCTCTGCTGTCTCACCCGCTGCTCCCCTCAGCAGTGTATTTCAGTAGATCTGCCTATTCTGCTACCCAATCTGTCGCTGGTGAATCCTCTCACCCCCCCCCCACCTCTGGCCTACACCCCAGTTCTTGTATGCATAAATAAATTAAAATAAAAAGATTGTAGGTTTTAGAGTCCTGTTCTGACACTCACTAGTTGTTGAGAGCAGGGGCAACTGACTTAACTTCTGTGAGCCTCAGCGTCCTATTCTGGAAAGTGGAGATAATACTAATACTAAATAAAAAAATAACATTTATTTATATAACAATATTATAAAATCACACATCTAAGTCAGTAAGCAAATAGTATATTTAGTCTGTGCCAGACATGGTTCTAAACATTTGACAGGTATTAACACAGTCTTTACAACAACCCTGTCAGGTAGATACAATATTGTCACAATTTTGCATATGAGGAGAATGAGTCAAGAGAAGGTAACAAACCTGTCCAGCAAGTTGTTTGTCACAGAGTTGATAACACTGGGATCGGAATCCAGGCTTTCTGGTTCTGGAACCCTCTTCATTATTAGAAGTTCAGTCATCTACTTCATAGAGTGTGTTAAGAATTAAAGGAGATAGCACCTATAATATACCTAGTGATGAATTTCAGGATATATTACCTTAAAATATGGCACTGTAGCATATCAAATATTTTAAGCTTTCGTCATTTGAGAAATTGGTGGACACCCCCTGCCCAAGGAAAAAATCTTCTATGTCCCCTGAAACAGGTCATAAAACTTTCATGTGTAAAGTGCCTTCCCTTTGCCTAGAGGAAAGCCACATTGTGTTATCTTTGAAGGCAAAGGGACAACAGAAAGAAGTCTACACACAGACCTTCCTAAGTTTCTCCAGTTAGCTAAGTTAACTCATGAAGCTTAAGTATACTCATCTGTTTCTTCTGGTCTTCATTTCCTTATGAAGATTCTCATGTCATATAAAACTTATATTAAATAGGACCTCCCTGGTGGCACAAGGGGTTAAGCCTCAGCATTATGAAGCAATCCGCAGCCACTGCAGCATGTGTTGGCTCTCCAGGCAGGCAGCAACCCACATGGCACAGCAGACCTCTCCTGTCTCACCCACTGCTCCCCTCAGCAGTATATTCCATTCAATCCGCCTGTTCTGTTACCTAATCTGTCTCTGGTGAATCCTCTTACCCCCTGCACCTCTGGCCTGTACCCCAGCCCTTATATGCATAAATAAATAAATCTTTTTTTTTTTTTTTAAATTTATATTGGGCCTCCCCAGTGGTGCAGAGGGTTGAGCTCAGCACTGTGAAGCTGTCCCAGCCTCTGTGGCGGGGTTTGATTCCCAGCCAGCCAGGGAGATACCCACATGGTGCAGCAGACTTCTCCTGTCTCGCTCACTGCTCCCCTCAGCAGTGTTTTCAGTCATCTGCCTGTTCTGCTCCATGCTCTGTCTCTGAATTCGCTAACCCTCCCACGCTTCTGGCCTGTACCCCAGTTCTTGTATAAATAAATAAATCCTTAAAAAAAACACACATTAAATAATGTGGGTGCTTTTCTCCTATTAACTCTCTTTGCCAGTTTAATTTCAGACCCAGAGAACCTAAGAGGTGGAGAAAAACCTCCCCTCACTCGTTTGCCAAACATCAGGCACAGAATAAGGGTTCAATTGAATACATTTTAGCAAAGAAAAGGAGAGGGTGGTAGCTTCAGAAAAACAGTTTGACGCCCAGGTGTGTGGAGGCTCTTCAATATCATGCTGAAGGACAGTTTTGACATTTTCCAGTTGGCAACTTTTAATAATAGGTGGAGTTGCAACAGGTTTGTGGGATGATTAGCAGTGTGAATGTAAGATTTATACATCAAGTTAAAAGAAAATGGGGCCTCCCTGGTGGTGCAAGGGGTTAAGTCTCAGTACTATGAAGCTATCTGTAGCCACTGAAGCATGAGTTCAATTCCCAGCCAGGGAACTGACCCAAATGGCACTGCAGACAGCTCCTGTCTCGCCAACTGCTCCCCACAGCAGCGTAAAATATAATTATAATCTTTAAAAAAATACAAAAGAGACTGGGTGGAAAGCAGTTAGACTGCCCGAGAAAGGGTGGTGACCATGGAAATGGAGGCGGAAACATATGGGAAAGGTATTGCAAAAATTGAGCTGGGATGTGGAGACAAAAGATGACTCAAGGTTTCGAGGGTGGGTGACTAGTAGAAGGCTGCTGATGCCACTTATAGAAACACAGAAATCAGGGGAGAAGCTGGAGCTTGAGGGCAAAAGGAATTTCATTTTTCTATAGGTTGAGTTTGAGATGATGACAAATCATTTGCACGGAGATACTCAACAGGCAATCTAGTTTTGCAGAAACTCAGCTCCATAGAACAAATATCCAACAACAGTATCTAAACTTTTTTCCTCAGAACATCCTCTTTGATTAAATATTTTAAATATATGCCTATATCATAGGAATTATAGAGAACAGAGAAAATATGTTGGATAACACCAAGGCGATGCAATTAATAAAATCTTAGCTGAGGATTATCTGTTTAAGACAAATGATCAAATGATTCACTTTACTCAACAAATTGTAATAATAAAAAAGAGAACTGGATGGAAACTATAATTAAGGAAATAAAAAAAATTAAAACTGGCAAGATTAAACTATAATATTTAAAGATGTCCACTTGAGTGACAAATTACTCCCTTATTATTGTTTATTCTTTTTTACACTAATGGGTTCGTGGGCTACTGAGATGAAAATCTGGCTGATGACAGGAGTGTTCTGTTATTAGAACTGATGTCAAAATATAATGACTCCCCAGTATGAAAGGATGACTAATCTCAAATATGGCAGAATCTCGCAATTATTGAGAAAAGTAGTATTGTTTTGTATTCCTTATTCTCCACATTTGCTTCAGATTTATTTATTTATTTATTTATTTACTTACCCATTTATTTATTTATTTATTTATTTTAGAGTCACATCTTTCTTGGATTGCTTTGTTTAAGTTCACAGAAAATTTTGCTTACTGAAGAACTATTATAAACAAGTGTCCTTGTCTTATATGGTTTATCTGCCAGAGGAGTTATCTATCTGATTTGTGGGTAAGAATGTGTTAATCTGTGAGCAAGGCTTTGTCCCAATCCACTTTTAGAAATTCCTTTCAACATATCCTTGGTTTGATATTTAGATGCTAATAGAAATGATGGGAATTATGCACTTTGCTTTTTTTTCTCCCCTAATTCTTGTAACTAGTAGAGAACTCGAAACTGAAATGAAGAAAGAAAAAACCCTGTGTGCATCTTTCCTTTTCCACGACCAACAATTTCCAAGCTATTTTGCAAATATAGGACAGCTGCTTTATTGAGCTAAAAAAACACTACAAAATGTAATGATAGCACTTTGGACTCTATTCTGATCTCCCTTAAACTCCACACAGCTTGGAATTTTCTGTAATTTTAATGAAAATGTGGCATGGCACATCTCTCTCATTTAAATTATGCACTGTCAGTATTTTCCTTCTTTGCAACTGAAGCACTTCTTGGGAAACATGCCAGGTAGAAGAGGGGAGGGCGAAGAACGAAAATAGAAAATTGAGGTGGGGGTGGGGAAATGAACTGGACTAAACAAACACACTCTACACAAAGCCATATTTTTAAAGACTTGCAAATCACTGGAAAATGGGGTACAGAAGTTCAAATAGGATTAAGGTAACTTTAGCAAGTCTAACTGGAGCTGAACATAGGTCAAACTAGGGCTAAAAGTCAAACCTTTAAACTCTGTTGATTTGTTTAAGACAAACACAAGATTTCATTTTAATATAATATCAGAGCAGGTCTTATTAATATTAGCTACTTAGGGCTTGGCAGTCATGTGTAAGACAGTAGTGTTTCTTCACATCAGTTATAATTTGTCAGTTAACAAAACCTTCTTCTTTCACCCGCCATATACCTCTTTTGCATTCCAAACATAGATCAATCATTCATTTAACAGATATTTATTGAGAGTCTGAATGAAGGAAAAGTCAGGAAGGGTGTCAGCTTACTATCATCTATGTTCCAAGACCAATTTTATATATAGTATTAACATATTCACAGAAATAAAATTTCCTTGGGAAGTTACCTTATTTATACCAGTGAGAAAATTAAGTACCCTATTTATATCAGTGAGAACTAATCATAATAAATTTGGTACCAATTTATAAATCTCTTTTCACACTTAATTCTCACTTGAACCCTGGCATAATATGTACTGTTATTCCTATTTTACAGGCAAGGATGTTATTCTAGAAAGGCAAACAGAAATGCAATCATCATTGCTTAGTGGCAGAGTTAAGACCGAAACTTGGGCCTTCTGGTTAGGTAGGAATCAATGCTTTTTCCACAATGGCGAAAGTCTGACAAGAGTGGCTCTGGAATCTGAAGGATTTGGGTCTGACTCACAGCTCTGCTCCTTATTTTGACCTTGGGCTAGTTACTAAGTCTGTTTTCTCTAAAATGGAGTCATGATAGAACCTTCTTCAGAGAGTTGTGGGAAGTAGTAATAATACAAAGCTTGTGCTTAGCACGAAGTCCAGACCCAGAAAGGATTAACTAGGTTAGATCCTGCCTTCAAGCAGGATCAGAAATTCCAGTTAGTTTTCTTATAGAACTCTTTTAAAAAGAAGAAACTCCAGTTGAATGAAATAAAACAGGATGCTCAGGGAGAATAGAAATGGAAATTAATCATTAGTGTATTTTATTTGTCAGTGTTAGTGTTAGAGTAGGGGGTCTGACTCAAAGCTCTGCCCAAGGAAGTCT